AGCTGTGATATGCCTTTCAGAGAAAATATATGTGTTAGATAGGTTTCGTTTATGCAAGAGTGATAGTGCCATTGGCCATGAGTTCAATGTTGATTATTCAATCATGTATATTAAATAAGGTATCTTTATTTTTTTAAATTTTAAATTCTTTTTCTTAGCACGCAAGTGCATGCAAGTGGGGGAGGGACACAGGGAGAGAGAGAATCTTAGACAGGCTCATGTTCAGCGAGGAGCCCGTCATGGGGCTCTATCCCATGACCCTGAGATCATGACCTGAGCTAAAATCAAGAGTTGGAGCCACCCAGAAGGCCCTAAATAAGGTATCTTTAAACAGAAACACACATTTTAAAAAGTTATTTATTGATCAGTTGATGAATATGTTATGATCAGAAACTTGCAAGAACCTAACTCTATATTTTGCTTAGGAGTGATAGTTCAATATCTGTTAATTCAATGTTTGTGGCAATTTTATAAAACATAACTATCGCAAGGACAAACACTAAGAATCGACTGGTCATTTCTAGTTTTAAAGGCAATCTGACTGTGACATCTCTCACCCATACCAACTGAATAACCTGATTGAAGGAGGTCACTTTCACTATTTCATTCTTCTTATTATATCCATCTCAAAGCTGCAAGTAGTATTTTGGGAGAGCAACATCCCAGTGGAGACCTCCTGCATAAAGGAGCACTGCTGTCCGCGGTGCTGATCATACAAAGGCAGCTTCCCGCAAGACTTATCTGTTAGCCAAAATGCTGGCTAAACTCTCTCCAGGGGAAGGTTTTCATTGGCTGGCTTGGGAAGCACGCCCTTCCCTGAACCAAATGTGTCCAGAGAGAGAAATGTTATGGTTGGTGTTAAGGTTAGAGTTCCTACCAATATCACAGAGACTAAGGTAGGAATTGATGTTTCCCCAAAAGAAAATGTAGGCTCTGTTGCCAGTAGAAAGTGGAATGGATTCCACATAGATAAGATAAACAGATTTCATCAAGAACTCCCCTGTGATAGTCATCTGTGTGCTTTCAACACACTTCCCCCATCATTATAGGTTATCTGTGTATGTTTCTTGATCTTTAAAGAATCTGATTCTGATGAAAGAATTTTTTTTTTTTTTTACGCTAGGAAAATGAGGCTAACTTTTGTCAGAAGAAGGAAGAAAGTGTGGAGTTTCTTTGGAGAAAGAAATTGTCCTAGAAAATGGATGTAACCAAATTTGCATTTCTCTAATATTGTAACAATTAATGTTATCGCCCCTGACTAAGACTACACTCAGAAATATTACCTTGGTCTTTGGAAACTAGGGTCTGATTAATAAATAAGAATGACTTTTATTATGCCACCACTCCACATTAGCCCAGCAAGTCATATAAGTCTCAGAATCCTACCATCCTATTACATAGTATACATATGAGCCTGGAAGTTTGAGTGCCACCGACTCTACACCTGATTCACATCATGCTGTAGGTTCTGTGGAGGTAATTTGGTGAACTTTGGGCCTTACTGAGCTAGCTATAGAGGTCTAGGATCAAGGACAGTCTATTTTCTTGTCAGAATTCAAATTCCCTTTTTCCCTTTTAGTAGCACAGGGTTCTCACCGGTGTCGTCTAGCATAGAAAAATGTTCCCCAGAAGATTTGTAGATCCTTCATCTGGGACTGGATATGGGATACACTCACTTTAAGAAACAAAAATGTCAGGGCATCTGGGTGGCTCAGTTGGTTGAGCATCTGACTCTTAATTCAGCTCAGGTCATGATCTTAGTGTCGTGAGATCGAACCCCGTGTCAGGCTCTGCACTCAGCGGGGTGTCTGCTTCTCTCCCTCTCCCTTTGCCCCTCCCCCACTCACACGCTCACTCTCTCTCTAAAATAAATAAATGAATAAATCTTAAAAAAGAAAAGAAACAAAATGGCATCTCTCCATTCAAGTGGGAAGATAGGACTTTTATCCTCTATATTATTTGGGAGTCTTTTGGCTTTTAGTGAAAGAAATTGAACTCAAAATGTCATAAGCATGGGGCACCTGGGTGGCTCAGTCATTAAGCATTTGCCTTCGGCTTAGGTCATGATCCCAGGGTCCTGAGATCGAGCCCCACATCAGGCCCCCTGCTCAGCGAGAAGCCTGCTTCTCCCTCTCCCACTCCCCCTGCTTGTGTTCCCTCTCTTGCTGTCTCTCTCTCTGTGTCAAATAAATACATAAAATCTTTTTTAAAAAATGTCATAAGCATAATAGCAAATTTATTAGCCCAAATGACTAAAAAGTCTGGGACACAGACCCAGCTTAAGGTAGTTGTGCGTCCAGAGACATTTTATCATTAGGGCTGGAACTCTTTCCATCTCTCAGCTCTGTTTTCCTTTGTGTTGGCTTCTCTCCCAAGCCCCATGTGATACTCCCCGCAGCTCTTGGATCACACAGTCCTTTCTGATAGTAGCCCCCCTGCCAAAAGAGAAGTTCTCTTTGCAATCTTCCAGAAAACATCCTGGGTGGGAATGACTTTCATTTGATTTAACTGGGGCTCAGGCCTATTCCTGAACAAAACACTAAGACCTGAGTGATGTGATAAGCTGATTGGCTAGACCTAGAGCCAGAAGTGGGATCACCCCAACTCAACCACATGGACTGAGAAAGGTGGATGAATGATTCTCCAAAGGAAACTCAGAGACGTCTCCAGAAAAAGAGGGAATAGATGTTGGTAGAAAAAAAGAGGAAAAAAGAAAACATGACTGCCACACCATTGCTTTTGGCAAAAAGTCTATGTACTTAGGGGACAGTGTAAGTCTCATTTCATATTGATTTTTCCTAAGTGGCTTGGAAGTGGTATTATTGGCAACAAAGGGATGTTTTGGTTCCTTTCTCACTCACTCTCACCACATTCTTAGAGAAATGCCCATCTATCTGTAGTGGTGGACCTCTACGGCCATATTTGTTTATGTGTCTCTATCCTGAATGGACCAGGGATGAGGGCACCTTACCCAAAGAAGCTAGTTATTGCAAATCTGGTAGCCAGTCAAATTCTTCGTAGGGATCCACTGAGGCTGAGAGGGGTTTTGATTTTGCTTATACTATTTTGAGTTGGTTTCTGTTACTTGAAACCAAATGACTTCACCAAGACGAATTCCAGTCACAGGATTCCAGTAGCACTGAGGAAAGAGCAGCTGATGTTGAATGTAAGTGATTTTAATGTTCTCTGAACTTGGCCCCTGGTGGTTGCATTTCCTAGGTTCTGAGCTTGGAAGTTATCAGGCTATCAGTGGCTTGCTGCTGGGCCTCTCACTAGTCGCAATAGTCTTGAAATGCAGGGTCTTTCAAGGCTTCTTTTTGAGTGAAGCTGTATCCGTTTTCAATCGCCGCAGCAATGGCATGACTGGGGTCCCTGGGATCAACTGAGGGGCTGGCTAGGCAATTCTGCTTATCTTGATTGGTCTTGCTATACAGAAAAATCGCATAGAAGGGATCACATGGATAAGAAGGATTGGGAAGGTGGGAAACATTGAGCTTTTAGATAGGGTAGCCAGGGAAGTTCTAACTGATAGAATAACAATAAAGCAAAGACAAGAAGGAGGCAAGGGGATGATCCACATGATTATCTGGGTGCATTAGTGTGTGTGTGTGTGTGTGTGTGTGTGTGTGAAGAGTGATGCTGGTAGAGCGAACAACAGTAACAAACGCTGAGGCAGAAGGGTGTCATCATATCCAAGGAACAACACAGGGACCAAAGAGAAAGAAGCAGAATGCGTCAGAGTGGTGGGAGATGAGGAGAGGTGATAACAGGGGTCAGACACAGAGGACACTGTGGGTGACCATAGGGCTTTGGCTTTTGCTAAGGATAAAGCAAAAAAGCCATTGAACGGGTTTAAGCAGAGCGACATGATCTGACTCTAAATTAATAGCATCCCTTTGGCTAGTATATTGACCATAGGCTGTAGAGGGGCTAGTGAGGGGAATATGGCAATGATCCAGGTGGGATATGGTGACAGACCAGCCACAGAGGCATCACTTGGAAAGTTAGAAATGCAGATTCTCAAGCCCCGCCCCATGCCTGTAGAGGTAGAATCTGCATTTTAACATGATCCACAGTGATTGTATGCACATTAAAGTCTGAGAAGTTCTGTGTGAGAAGAGAACGCTTCCTTTCTCTGGGCCTGTTTTCTTCCCTACTCTAAGGGGCTGGACCGAGGTATCTCTATGGTCCCTTCCAGTTGCAATTTTCTTTTCTCTTCTTTTTTATTTAAGATTTTATTTATTTATTTGAGAGAGAGAGGGAGAGAGAGGGAGAGAGAGAGAGAGAAAGAGAAGCAGACCCCCCGATGCGCAGGGAGCCCCATGTGGGGTTCGATTCCAGGACCCTGAGATCATGACCTGAGCCAAAGGCAGATGTGTAACCGACTGAAACACCCAGGCACCCCCCAGTTGTCATTTTCTAAGCCCCTTTCTTACAGCTATCTGTGTGCATCGCTATGAAAAGCCAGCTGAAGAGACCAAAGGATAAACGGCCTGGCTGCAAAACCCCTACTGCCCACAGCCAGACGCAGGTGGGCACTGAAGCAGCTTCATGATCCAGGTCAGTGGGGAGCCTGGGGTAAGAGGCTGTTGGGATTTCTCCTGGTGCTGGGGTGGAAGGGCGCCCAACTGGACCAGAGTGGAAGGTGTCGGGCAGTAACAGGGTGGCAGGAGGCGCTGTGAAGTGCTGGTGGAAGGTGCCGCCCAGACCCAGAGGGCGTGCAGGGTGCTGGGTGGCCTCAGGGAGGCAGCAGGCACTGCGCTGCGCTACGGTAAGGCACAGGGCCGGACGCACCTGGGCGCAGATTGGCCTCAGGGTGGCAGGGGGCGCTGTGGAGTCGCGGCTGGCACATCCCGGGCCTCCTGGGGAATACACCTGCGCAGGTGGGAGTGGCCCCGAGGGGGCGGGGCTGCAGGGGCGGGGCTGCAGGGGCGGGGCCCAGGTCAGGCCCACAAGAGCCGGAGGCCGCGGCGGCTGCGGGATGCTCCAGCTGTACGCGGAGCAGAACAGATCGCACACGGATCGCGCGCACGCGAGCCCCGGACTCCGGAACTGAGCGAGGTGAGCCTAGAGCCAGGTCGGGTCGCGCGAGTTTGGGGCTTTCAGGCACCGGAGCGGCCGCGGGGCCGGGTGGCTTCTCGGACACAGTCCGCGCGGTTGGCGGCGGAGCCGGCATCAGCCGGGGGCTGCCTCCCCGGTGGCTGGGATGCTGGGACACCTTCCCAGGTCAATCCGGGTCCAGCCAGCTCTCTGGCGTCGCCCACGCCGTGGCCTGGGACACAGAGCTGGGGCGATAGGCATTTCTGGGCTACTCAGGAACAAGGTCCGGGACTCCCGGGGTCCGGGGCCGCGCCTTGCCTTGTCTCGCCGCCCAGCCCCTGTTCAGCCCCCTTTCTTGGCCTTGGTGTGACTTGACCGCGATTGTTCCCTTTACCTTCTGGAATGTTTTCTCTGGGGTGACTGTGGTTGCAGAAAGAAGCAAACACTTGAATCGGTTTGGATTCTCTCTGGAGGCTTCAGCGGATTGACTTCTGCCACAGCACAGCGTGCGATCGCTCTGTGCAGGGTAGGCAGGAGCTGCGGAGTCGCGGGGGAGGAGCTCGGGTCCCGTGCCCAGAGCCTGAAACTTGGGGTCCCTGCCTGGGGCATGGGAGATTGGCGAGGTCGGGGGTGAGCCAGCGGGGCGCAGTAGAGAATCGTGGTCATGAGCGGCCCTGGAATTTGAAAAAAAAAAATCCTTTGAATCTTGCTATCTGTGTGGCTTTGGACAAGTTATCTAATCATTCTGCACCTCGGTCTCCCCCCTCTGTGAAATGGGCACAGTACTAGTACTTTATATAATTATGAGCATTAAATAGGTCATGTGTAAAAAAGAGCTGCATAGGATGGCTGGGAGTACGAAAGGATCAATAAATAATAGCCGCTGTTCTTGCTGTTGTTGCCATTATTATTACTATTTGGGGAGCAGCACAGCTAGTAGCTGAGTGTGGACTCCTAAGTTCAAATCCCAGCTGAGCCACTTTCTAGTGTGACTTTGGACAAACTAAACTTCTCAGGATCTCCATTTCATTTGTATAATGGGGGAATGAGGATGCCTACCTCAGAAATCTGTTGTGGAAATGAACTGAGTTAATACCTGTAAAGTACTTTGAAGAGTGAATGCTTGGTGTCAGCTATGGGTTCTTCCAAAAGGCATCATGTTCAATCAAGCAGCACAACCTAATAGTAACCACAACCTTGCTTTGCTTTGAAGTTGAAACACTGTTTGTATGAACATTTACCAGTTTTGTGATGAGCAAGATGGGTTCCCTTCTTTTTCTTGTGGCTTCGGTGACATGGGTGGCTGATCTCCTGGGGTCCAGGTCAGTCCTGGAGAATGAGCTGATGCGGCAGAGGGACCCCAGGGGTTGTCTTCAGTGAGGAGAGTTAGAGACAGGAGCACCCAGAATCTGTGATTCTAAACATTCCCAGAGGAGAAAACCTTCCCTGGGTTGCAGTTTTATTTGACAGGAAATTGAACCTGGACCCAGGTTTTAATTTTGTATTTTTTAAAAGATTTTATTTATTTATTTGAGAGAGAGAGAGAGAGCACAAATGGGGGGAAGGACAGAAGGACAAGTAGACTCCCTGCTGAGTGTGGAGCCCAAGGCAGGACTCGATCCCAGGACCCTGAGATCATGACCTGAGTGGAAGTTAGATGCTTAACCAGTTGAGCCACCCAGGCACCCCTGGACCCACGTTTTTTTTGTTTTTTTTTTTAAAGATTTTATTTATTTATTTGAGAGAGAGAGAGAATGAGAGATAGAAAGCATGAGAGGGAAGAGGGTCAGATGGAGAAGCAGACTCCCTGCTGAGCAGGGAGCCCGATGCGGGACTCGATCCCGGGACTCCAGGATCATGACCTGAGCCGAAGGCAGTCGCTTAACCAACTGAGCCACCCAGGCGCCCTGGACCCACGTTTTTAAAACAAACAAACAAACAAACAAACAAACTTTTTAACTTATTTGCTTTTGGATTGTAGAGAGAAGAGGTGGGGATGAGAAATATTTTCAATGATAAAGTAAGTTACATTCCTCTTGCCAAGAGGCTAACAGCATAATTTTGAGGGTCAAGAAGGCTTTTTCCATCCCAGTAAGGTCATATGCGTCTGGGAGGGAGCGCTGTTGGAGGGATGTCGCTGCCTCAGGACATCTCCCTTGCCCTCCTCTCCCCCAGCACTCTTACTTCCTTTACATCATAAACCTGAAACCCACTAGCATGATAAACTTGAAAGCCTCCCAGCTTTGCCCCAGTTCCCAAATTTGGACAATATCCCACGGGGTCAAAATGGAGAAAAAGTAACTCCTGAAGTCCAGAATCCTGCCTGAAGAACTTGATGGGGCAAACTAAAGTCCTTGTCCCAGACACAGGCCCTCTGGGGGCATGGGGACCACCCTGTATATCCTACCCAAAGTAAGGTGTACCCTACGTTACCTCTGTCACCGATGGCAGGCAGAGGAGGCAGAGTTTCCATATGCCTCCCCTCCCCCTTTACCAGTGCTCACAACTGTTGGGAGGCAGTTACACTGACTATCCAGAGTTTGGAAATTAAATAACTCAGTATTCCCTCTTTTTCCTTCTTCCTTGAGGAGGGGACAGCACCCAGCACAACACCAGGCCCCCCCAAAGCATATATCATGGTGGAGAAGGCTGCAAGTTTCCAATCCAGTTCCTCCCCTTACTAGCGGTGTGGCCTTGCATGAACTACTCCACTTCTCTGAGCTTGTTGAAACACAAAATGAAATATATGTAGATTATATGTATATATAGAGAGACTGTAGATATTTATGAGACTAATGGGAGTTTATATATTATAACCATGAGATGACTCTCCCTATATATAGACAATATATATAACATACAATACCCACATATTAGTTCATTCCTTTTTTTTTAAAGTTTTATTTATCTTATGAGAGAGAGAGAGAAAGCACAAGCAGGGGGTGAGGCAGAGGGAGAAACAGGCTCCCTGCTCAGGGAGCCCGATGTGGGGCTCAATCCCAGGACCCCGAGATCATGACCTGAGCCAAAGGCAGACGCCTAACCAACCAAGCCACCCAGGCATCCCATTAGTTCATTTCTAAAAAGAATGTTGTTCCATGTTGTAAAGTTTCTGTATCTGCAATGCATCATGTACGTTGATGAATGTGGTAATTTGCTTTCCAACACTTTCCCCCAAAGAAAGCTGGTATTGAATTAAAGTGTATTCCCCTAATTAGTTATGTTAGAATCAAGAAAATATGGCACGATGCCTGGCAAATATTAAGTGGCCAAGTGTTGTGGGCTATTGTTTAGAAGGCGCTCTAGAAACACCGAAGGCTTGAATGTAAAGAGAAGTTAAACAGAAATGAAACAGAAACTCTACTTGCAGGGAAAGCAGAGGGGAAAATCCTGGAAATCACGGCTGGGAGTGGACTGAACAGGATCTAAGTTGGCTGCCAAGCAATTCTCTTGGCAGGTTGTATCTGTCAGAAGAGATGTGCAGGGCACTTGCTCAGCGAGACACTGAGCTAGGCATGGGGCGGGGGGGGGGGGGGGCAAAGGGGTTAGTGAGATAGGAATGCTGCCCTCAAGGGGGCAGGTTGAGGGCAGTGATAAGGTGTGGGTGGTCATGCTCTAAATACGGCAGAGCATGATAAGAGTGGTGCAGAGGCCGATGTGCACAGGGCTCCTGTTCCAGGCACCCAGGGGAAAGGTTCTTCAAACATGTCCAGTGATTCACGGGTTAAACCCCACCCAGCCCCCGCACGGCTGGGCCTGGGGGCTGCAAGAGGAGGAGGCTGCCCTTTGGCAGCTGCTACGTCCAAAACCCCAAATACCCTGGAAAAGGGGCCAGGACCTCAGAAAGCAGACTTGTCCAGCCCCCAAAGGGAAAAAGGAAGGCGGCCTCCGAGGGCACGTGGGCTGGTGTTTCCCAGAGTCCGGCCTCCAGGGACCAGCCAGCGCTTGCTGGTTCGGGGGGGGGGGTGGCACTGTGAGCTCACCTGCTTTTCTTCTCCGTCCCTCCAGCGTGCCTGCCCCTCCACGTCCCATGCTCGCCATGGCTCCTGGAGAGAAGATCAAAGCCAAAATCAAGAAGAATCTGCCGGTGAGGGGGCCCCAGGCGCCTACGATCAAAGAGCTGATGCGGTGGTACTGCCTGAACACCAACACCCACGGCTGTCGCCGCATTGTGGTGTCCCGCGGCCGCCTGCGGCGCCTGCTCTGGATTCTGTTCACGCTCACCGCCGTGGCCCTTATCTTCTGGCAGTGTGCACTCCTCATGGCCTCCTTCTACACCGTCTCTGTCTCCATCAAAGTCCACTTCCAGAAGCTGGATTTTCCTGCTGTCACTATCTGCAACATCAACCCTTACAAGTAAGAGGCAGGAGCAGGGCTATGGGTGGGGTCTGCACCCCCTCCAGAGGCCACAGCCCCTCTCCAAGGTACCATGCGCCACCCTGCAGACATGCTTTTTAAAAATCAGAATTCATTGCCAACCTTGGTAAACTCTCTCTCCCAGGTTCTAAATCTGTACCAAGTTTTCTATCTAACAGCTGCTCCTGAGGATGGACTAGCTCAGGATGTGCAGGAGGGGGAGGCAGCAGGGGTCAGTTTCACTTGGAGGTTGGACCTGGAATGGACTAAACCCGCCCCCTAGCCCAGGCAACTGGGAGCGCACACATGCGCGCACACACACACAGACACACACACACACACACACACACACATGGGTACACACAACCAGTTTAGCCATTTCCCCTGAGCCCTGTAAGCTTACACCTCACTCTCCCCAAAATGTGAGCTGGAAGCTGACTCAGAAGTGACACCCAGGTGACTTCCAGAAGCATCTCAGCTGCCCCAAACCCTCATCTGAGTGAACCCAGCCCCACTAATTGAGATCACTGGGCTCTGGGCAGGATCAACCCTTGGTCTTGCCCTATTGTCTGCCAAGGGGCCTGTTCTAAATGGGTCACTGGAGTCCTGCTCGGGATTATTGAAAACTGATCTGTGAGGCAGGTCAGAATCTGGCAGAATTTGTCTGAGCAGGTGTGGGTGTGGAGAGAAGGGAGGAGCAGGGGAGGAAGCGTATCAAAGTAAACCACCTGGTCAAAATCAAAATCAGGTCTAAGACTCATTCTCCCCCCTCAGAGTCTTTTTGTCTCTCTCTCCCTCTCTTCCAGCCATCCATAATCAGACAAGCTGTCGTGCGGTGTGCCAGAGTCTGGGGCATAGAACCGAACAACCCAACAGTCTTTGTCCTAGTGGAGCTGAGTTGTGGTGGAGGAGTGAAATATTAACAAATATAGTTCCACCAATAAAATTAATAGTGAATGTTTTCACACACACACACACACACACACACACACACAAGATAAACTCATAGAATCTCTGCAATAATCCCATTTCACAGAGGAGAAAACTGAGACACAAAAAGGCTAAAATAACTGGTCCAAGGTCACAAATCCAGAACGAGGATGGGTAGCTGGACCCCAGGTAGTTTGGCTCTGCAGTTTATACACTCAGTCACCATGCTGTGTCGCCTAGTCACAGAGCAAGGGGTAGAGAGAGAAGAGAGGGGGCGGTTAGGAGGGAGACCAGGACTACTTGTATAATGAAAAGTTAAAGATGGTGTTATGCTTCATTCCATCCTGTATCATTCTTCTGTGTTCTTGGGGGTTGTCAAGGTGACAGTTCTACCTCCCCCCTCCCAGCACTGACTCTAGGGGAGTTCATGACAGGGACTAGTGAGCTTGGTGGAGATGCACACTGTCCCCTGGACAGACTTCTCGTTAGCAGGGATCGTCTGCACTGTAATTGTCCTCACTGTGGCTGGTTTATGGGAGGCACTTGATAGTCACCACTCCAGAAATGCTGGTTGGGGCAAACTCACCAACACACCCCGAGAGCAAGCAGATGGTAGTGGCAGAAATGAAGGCATGAGAAGTCATGCAAGGGTCACACAGGAGCCTGTCACCGTTTACTTAAGCCAACAGTCACTTTGGATGGGGCAAATCATAAAAGGCTTGGTCTCCTTGGCCAAGGAGGCAGGCGAGAAGTGGGCCCAGGGCTGACACACATTGATGGAGAGCAGAGGGCGGAAGCACCAGTGCTCTGTCAGAGGAGCTTCCCCTTTCCCTGACTCCTCCTTCCCACCTTGGCAGGTACAGTGTGGTGCGGGACCTTCTAGCTGACTTGGAACAGGAGACCAGAGTGGCCTTAAAGACCCTGTATGGCTTTCCAGAGAATACGTCTCGAAAACGCCGAGAGGCAGAGTCCTGGAATTCGGCTTGGGAGGGCACACGGCCTAAATTCCTCAAACTGGTCCCACTGATGGCTTTCGGTCAGGATGAGACCGGTAAGGCCAGGGACTTCCTCACAGGGCGGAAGCGGAAATTCAATGGACGCATCATTCACAAGGCGTCGGATGCCATGCATGTCCACGCGTCCAAGGAGGTGGTGGGATTCCAACTGGTGAGATACGCGTCCTCACAGCTGGGGGACATGGGATGGGCTGGAGATGGTGGGTCCAGTAAGGTTTCTCCTTTTCCACTGTCTCTATGGTCCTGCCCAAAGAAATACACCCAGTTCAGGGTGAATTTTCTGCAAGCAACTAAAACTGACTCAGGCAATATTGAGCAGGAAAAAAAATGTCTTAGAAAGGGACCAGTAGCTCAGGGAGGCTACTCAAAGGACAGAAATTAGGCAAGATCCAGGGATCTAGGTGGCAAGAAATGGTGGAAAGTCATTTCACGTATGGCTGCTGGATTAAACTTCAAGTAAACTATTTTCATGCTTTTTGCTAATCCATCCATAAGGACAATTCAAATTCCATCTTGGGACTATCTGATTGGCCAAGTTTGGGTCACCTAATGGCTAACAGAGGGTGAGGCATCATGGTGGACAGTCTCATCAGACTGTATCCAATAGGGGAAATGACATTCTACCAAAGCCAAATTAGGGTGCAGACCCCTGAAGGAATAAAACAGATAATAAAGAGCAGAAATACCCACTGTTCCCTGCAGTACTTGCCTTTGTTAGGTGCCTGACTTTTCATCTCTCTCCTTCTTGGTCCCATTTGAGGGGCTCTGAAGAAGCAGCCATTTACCAAAATCAAATTCCATTAGTGACCTGGGCAAAGTCAATCAATCACCCTATCTCTCCATGCCCCAGACTCCTCTGTAGGATGAGACACCTGGTGGAATGAGACCACCTCTTCCTATACCTCATACCTGGCTTGCCAATTGTGAGACCTCAGAGCACAGTTACAAATCCTGAAAAAACAGCCCTTTCTCCTAATCACTGAGACTTTTCAAAGTCTTCCTGGGTATTTTCATGAGATACCCACTCCCCGTAATCCTTGAGTGCAAAATCAATCCTTCAATGTCTGTCCGTTTGAGAGCTTCCAAACTCTGTGTGATGAGAACATCTGAAACCTACTACAGTCTCCCTCTAAGGCTTTCATTATTATATATTTAAATGCTGGTCCTCCCAACTACTCTCTGAGGTTGGGAAGGATGGCATTTTAGCCGACATTTGGTAGGTGAAATAATGGAGCCATAAAACGCCTTGCCCAAGATCCTGCAGAGAAATCATCTTGGAGTCTGGGCAAGCATCCAGATTTCTAGACTGCTGACCCAAAAGGAAATGGCTAGAGGTGTGTGGGAAGTCAGTAGCAATAATCAACCATAGCCTGGATATCTGGAGATGCTAAAGAAACTGGTTTTTCTTCTTATCTGGTAAGCAGTCGCAGGGAGTAGTGACAGTGAAACTCTGTCCTCCTCCCAGCCCCATCTCGGTCCTTGAGGCTGATGTCTCTCAGCCCCTGGAAGTAAGAGGAAGCCCATCCTTGCTTCGGGTGTCCCTCCTGTTCCCCCTGAGTGTCTGGTCTAGAGTCCCAGTTCCTTATCCTCACCGTCCTTCAGAAGGCCAGTGCTAGTGCCAATGGCTTCAGCCTACTGTCTCCTCTTACCCACAGTGTTCAAATGACACGTCCCACTGCGCCCTCTACACCTTCAGCTCGGGAGTCAATGCCATCCAGGAGTGGTACAAGCTGCACTACATGAACATCATGGCACAAGTCCCTCTGGAGAAGAAAATCAACATGAGCTACTCTGCTGAGGAGCTGCTGGTTACCTGCCTCTTTGATGGGGTGTCCTGCGATGCCAGGTCAGGAGAGGAGTCTGCTCCTTTAGCTCTGAGCCCCTTGCCTGCACCTGCAGCTCAGCTTGGGAGGGCTTGGGAGCAGAAGATGCTCTTCTCTGATGCTGCCCTTGGGAAAACAGCTTACATGGGAGCTAGGCTCTAGAGTCAGTGAGGAAGAGAGAGATGGCACAGAGTCAAAATATCCTTGAACTCATTAAGTTACTCATAAAAACAGAGTGGTTGATGGTATATGTATAACCTTGGATGCTACCATCATACACACCAATGACTGAGAACCATTGGCCTAGCACAGAGACGGAAACAAAGGAAAGAAGGGAAGGTGGGAAAGAGAGAGGAAGAAGGGTCTATGTGCAGATGGGTGAGCTCTCAGACCTTTCTGCCTTTAAGTTAACACTCAGACCTCTAGTGGTGACTGAGCAGTGGTGGGACATTCTAGAGTGTTCCTGCCTATCCAAAAGGCTTACTTCACTCTATTTAAACAGTAAGCCATTCTATATGTAAGGAGATATATTGGTCCTTATGAAGCTGAGTGATTGGAATCATGTCCACTTGAGGGTTGGGTTCTAAAGCCAGTGTAAGGACACATGCCTTGTGCTTCCTTCCCTGGAGATCATTTCCTGGTATTGGAATGGAAAAAAATGTCAAGTGTTGGCTGAGAAATTCACAAGCAGAGGAATCTGGGGGCAGACATATGGCACAAGGAGTGCCACATCAGGATGGAGACAAAGATGGGAGGATTAAGAGAGGGAACAAAGCAGAGAATAGTCCTATATCAATGTGTGTGTCAGCCTGGGTGAGGGGCTTTGGTTATGGCTTATCAGACTGAAGGTGGAGAAAGTAAGTCATGTCTATTATCCATTGTCCATAAAAGAGAGTTGGCCTCATAAGCATGGCCCATCCAGCCTTCAGCTCAGATGCACAAGGGGAGTTCCCACCAAAGCTCCTTCTGACCCGTATTCTTCCTCATAGAAACTTCACGCTTTTCCACCACCCAATGTATGGGAATTGCTACACGTTCAACAACAGAGAGAACGAGACTATCCTCAGCACATCCATGGGGGGCAGCGAGTATGGTAAGGAAATCCACACCAACAGTGAGCACACTGGCAGCAGGACAGTTGGGGTGCCCGAGCCTTCCAGAAAGGCGGGCTCTCTCCATCTAGCCAGAAACCAGGGACACCACATCCCCTTTTGCTGCAGTGTCTCCATCAGCATCTGTGCAGGCTCCTTTTTCGGTGTCTGTTTTCCTTTCTGACATCTCCTCTTTACTTTTGAGAGACAGAAAGAGATCACATCACCGGAGTTTCTTTTCCTAGAAGACCACACTGGTTTGAGCTTGTAGCTGGAAGGAGTAATGCAGGGCAGGCAGCTTTCAGACGGACTTGAACCCAGATACGCAGAACAGGAGATTAAGGAGGCAAACATACCTTTATCTTGGTTAAGATAACGCATTCTGGAGCCAAAACCCAGCTCTGCCACTCACCGTGTGACCCCGTGCAAGTTACTGCACTTCATCTACAAAGTGGAACTCACGATAATATGTGTGCTCTAAGGTTGTCAAGAGGACTTAATGTATATATAGTGCTTCAAGTAAGTCCTGGCACACACTGGATCAGTCTGCTCAGGCTGCATAACAAAATAGCCTGAAAAACAGAAATTTATGTTCTCTCAGTTCTGGAGGCAAGGGGCCCAGGGTCAAGATGCTGGTGAATTTGGTTCCTGGCTTGCAGATGGCTGCCTTCCTGCTCTGTCCTCACCTGGCCTTTCCTCTGTGGCAAGCAGAGAGAGAGAGAGAGAAAGAGAGTACTGGTATCTCCTCCTATCCTCATAAGGAGACCAGTCCTATGGGATCGGGGCTTGCCATATGACTTCATTTAACCTTAATTACCTCCTTAAAGGGCCTACCTCCAATACTGTCACATTACAGGGTAGGATTTCAACATATGAATTTAGAGGGAGGGGAACACAGTTCAGTCCTCAACGCACATGAAACACACAATCAATGCTGGCTGTGGTTGTCATTCCTACTGTTAGTAGCATTACCACTCCTATCACCAGCACCAGTAATACCATTACGACCTCCTGCCCTGGCACGACCACTGCTCTGCCACGGTGACTTTTGTAGGGCAGCCGGCAACAGACGGGCCTGGCTTACCCACAAGAGGAATTTGTGCAAAGTCGTAAGCAAATGGAACACAATTTGATAGACAGATATGCTCCCACAGGGAAAGGCAAGGTCTTGTCATAGAGGAAAACAGCATGTGGGGGCCTAGCGTTTGCCACTGTGTGGCCTGTATTCTTACCAAGTCTGCAAGAGACAGTAACTCAGGACATGTACTTTGGTGGGAAGAAGTAGTCTGGGAGCTGGGAGCTAAGAGTGCAGAGTCCTGGCTCTGCTACCTATGCGCTGTGTGACCTTGAGCAAATCACTTGCCTGCTCTGGGCTTCAGTTCTTTTAATTGCAAATGGAAGAAGTCAGAATGAACTCTCAAAGTTTTCTTTTTTCTTTTCTTTCTTTCTTTTTTAAAGATTTTGTTTATTCATTTGAAGGAGAGAGAGCACAAGAAGGGGGAGCAGCTGAGGGAGAGGGAGAAGCAGACTCCCTGCTGAGACTCGGCAGGGAGCCTGCTTCTCCCTCTGACCCTCTCCCCTCTCATGCTGTTTCTCTCTCTCTCTCTCTCTCTCTCTCTCTCGCTCTCTAATAAATAAATAAATAAATAATCTTTAAAAAAGAAAATCCTAATGAGGGCTACGAGGAAAATCAAGTAGTGAAAGGGAAGGGGGTGCTGGGGCCAGGACGGGGGTTTTATTTCAGATAAGGAGGCATCTGTGACAAGAGTTAGTTAGGGGTGAGAAGATCCACAGAAGAGCATCTGGGGCACTAATAAGTACAAAAACCCTGAGAAGGAAATGAATTTGATGTGCTCTAGAAACAGAAAGAAGTCCAGTGTACCCGGAGCTTCTTGAGAGAGCGGGGGGGGGGGGGGGGGGGGGGGGGGAAGAGGGAGGGCTGCATCCCTGTAGGCGTGACAGCCACAGTCAGGTTACGGATTTTATTCCATGGAATTTCCACCGAAGGGTTTTGGGCAAGGGAGTGACCTGATCTGATTTCCAATTTTATTTTTTAAAATTTTGAAAAAAGATTTATTTATTTGTCTGGGAGAGAGAGGCAGAGAGGCAGAGGGAGAGAGAGAGTCTTAGGCAGATTCCACACTGAGCACAGAGCCCGACGCGGGGCTCTATCTCCTGACCCGAGCCGAAACCAAGAGTCAGATGCTCAACTGACTGTGCCACCCAGGTGCCCCTGATTTCCAATTTTCAAAGGTCCCTCTGGCTGCTGGGTGCAGAATATCCTGCAAGGGTAGGAGCTGGAGTATGGAGAGAAGTTAGACCAGTGATCAGATACTCCATTAGTGCTTTTCTATAAGGGTTTAAGCAGCCATAGCACTGCATGTCCCTTTGGACGCTCTGCAGAATGCCCCATCCCAAAGGACCACGTGGAAATGCATGTCTCAGGTAGGGTAGCAGTTCCTTTATAGCTCAGCAGAACTGTGGCGGTAATGCTGTTTTGGGGGAAACAGCAGTGAGCAAGTCGAGCACCATCCCTCCACCCCCTCTTCTCCATGAAGCTTCCGATCTAGCCTTGTCCATCTTTTACTTGTCGGAAATGCCTGCTTCTTGGTTTGGAGCCTCCCAAAGCGGTGGGAGAGGTAGGCTAGCGCCAGGGAATGTTTAACGAGCCTTTGACCACAGTAGCCTTTTGTCTTCCCAGGGCTGCAGGTCATCTTGTACATAAATGAAGAGGAGTACAACCCCTTCCTGGTGTCCTCCAGCGGGGCCAAGGTGATTGTCCATCGGCAGGATGAATACCCCTTCATCGAGGATGTGGGAACAGAGATCGAGCCTGCCATGGCCACCTCCATAGGGATGCACCTGGTAAGAGAATGTTCTGATTTCTGCAGGGGTGGCAAGGAAAACAGATCTTTTTTTTCCAAGAATAACCAATAAGGCACGGCTTTTGGAAAAGTGTGTTGGTTTCAAAAGGAAGCATAGTCCTAGATTTGCTAATAGTTCCCGCAATGGTCACTCCAGCAGTTCTACTAAAGGCTGTCTTTGTATCTTCTGTATGGATCAACGAGGACACAGGATGCCATTTTGGGAAAGAATTGAAGGAATCTTGCTTGTCGCAAAGGCAGACACTAGCATTTATGGAACCTGTGCTGGGAGCAAAGCCTCAGACACTAACTATATCTGTCACTAATATAAATAGAGCAGATCAACACCTTTCCTTCTGGGCCACCTAAACATCTATGAGGCATGTGAACCACTCCTTAATCGCTAATGGGAAGTCACTGGGCCACTGGAGCCCTATTTAGCCAATCATACTTAATCAATTTCACCTCATTCATCAAGAACCTCCTTCTCCCTCAACTCTTTGACTTTCTCTTACCTCACTGGTTGCTAAAAACACTCATACCTGTCAACAGAAGCACATCTGGGCTGCAGACTCCAATCCCTGAGTCAACTATGCCCTATAGGAGCAGAAGGGCAAAGAGAGGGCCGTGCCCCAGATACTCCACTACTTATGCAATCTTCTTGTTTGCAGGACTGAGGTCTTTTTATGCCAGTAACTCTCCACCTTTTGTCTTCATTCCTTGCAAATCTGTCCTCCAGAGCAGTGGTTTCCAAATCTGACTGATCGTCTGACTCAGATCCACAGAATCAGAATCTCTTGAAAGATGAGCCCAAGATCTGTGTTTTTACCAAACTCTGGTGATTATTCCAAGAGGCAGAAAACTGAGGAACCTCAGCTTTAGAAAGTTGAGTAGTTCAACGCGAGAGGAGAAGCAAAGTGTGTCTTCCCAAGCGAAAGTAAAGCTAGAATGACAAAAGCTTTAGCACAGCCATAAATGATGGCTTCGTATTGGGTTATAAAGTGATATAGTGAGCACTGGGGCTTGTATATCCATCCATTATTTATCCATTCAACAAGTATTTTCTGAGCGTCTTCATGTGCTGGACAGTGGGACCATATCAGAGTGTAAGACACCGTCGCCGTCCTGTCGGAGCTTAGAGTCTGGCAGAGAGGATCAATCACAAACAAAAAATTGCACAGGGACACCTGGGTGGCTCAGTCGGTTAAGTGTCTGCCTTCGGCTCAGGTCATGATCCCAGGGTCCTGGGATCGAGTCCCACATCGGGCTCCTTGCTGAGCAAGGGGCCTGCTTCTCCCTCTGCCTGCCTCTGTCTCTCTCTCTCTCTGATAAATAAATAAAATCTTTAAAAAAAAACACACAAAAAATTGCACAAATGATTAATTATAATCATCATTAGCGCTACCAAGGAGAAATGCAGGATGCACGAAAACCCATCAGGGGGATGGCTGACCTAGGGCTTTTTTTTAATGGGGGGAAATGGGGAGTTCAAGGAGTACTTTTCTAAGGAAGCAATATTTAAGTTGAGACAGCCGAGATGATGACCTGAGTACACAGTGACATTCCAGAGGAAATCTGTGGCTTCTGTGCCCCCATCAAATGGACAGTCCTGGACAAGAGAAACAATTAGGATGGTTGCCTGGAACCTGGGTTCTCTCGGAAGGCACAATCCAATGTGGGAAGTTTGTTTCAACATGAGAAGTGTTGTATACCAACTTGGACTGTGCGAATACAGATTTCTGCCCCCCCAATAATCCTGAGCCCCAAGCTATGAGACTGTGGCTTGGAAAGACTTTAGGGTACCACTTAAGGATCTGGGTCATTGATTCTTCTATTCACCAGGACTGCAAAACTCCCAAATCGGAATAGTGAAGATTTTCACCCAACATTGCCCATGCAGTTTTATCTGCGCCCCGAACGAGGACTTGGGATTTGCAGTACATCTTATCCTTTAAGAAATTTTTGTTACCTACCCTTCGGCCCTCTCTTTCCCTTCCGCCTTTCACAGTGTCTGCAGGCTTGGGGGAGAGGATCAAGAGCTTGGAAAAGTGCAAGAACTAAGGAATTCTGCCCTCTGATTTCCTTCTCCGAGCTTAGCAATACCCACCACTTTGTTAAGCAAATGGTTTCTTTAACAATGGTGGGTAAACAAAGACATGGGTGGGTTTTCTGCTATACCTCATCTGAGATGTAGAAAACCAAATTGACAGAGCTAGGTCAGTCAGCTCTTTTTCTGATTTATGAGCATTTGGAACAACAAAAAGTAATCTTAGGGATTATTAAGGTCAACATGGGGTTACTAAGAAGAAGTCCAAACAAACTAGATTTCCTTTCTTATTTTTTATTTCTTTACTTATTTTTCTCGATAGGCATGTTAAGCTGGTAGACACAGTCAGTTAAAATTTTTCCTTTATTCAGTAAGGGACTGTGTGTCCAAAGCACTGGAAATTCAGAGATGAATACAACAGAACACCTATCTTTAAAGATCTTATCTATAAGACCGCACAGCTTTGTGAAACAGTTCCCAGCTCCGTGGGAACAGAGACATTCAGTCTTGTTAAGAGGCTCAGTTCTTAGAACATAGTAGATGCTCAGTAAATGATGCTGGATGGATAGATGGATGTATGGATGGATGTACAGATGGTGGGGAGCCCAGACTGTTGGTGAGCAGATGGATGTACAGATGGTTGGGAGCAGCTGAAGCTGAAGGCTTCCTAGCTGATAGATTCTTGAAGGACAAGTGTCAGGCAAATAGTTTCCGGAAGGGCTAGTCCAAATAAAGGGCAAAGCCATTACAAAGGCATCACAGGAAGGATTTTAAGCTGAGTGGTGAAACTTTTTGAGAAATCTCTTTGGCTGAAGTATAGTCAAGATAAAGTAATCAAGAAAAAGGAATCAAGATACTGGAGGCAGCAAACTGACAGTAATTCCAGAAAGAAAAGATGAGACCCTTAGCTGAGGCAATGGCTGTAGGGATGAGCATAAGTGAATGGATTTGAGAGATACTACAGCATGGAAGCAACAGGGCTTGGCAACCAAGGTCAGTGAGGAAAGACCTCACTAAAAGGGAAGTTAGATTGATATTTAGATTTTGGCTTGGGCAGTGGGGTGGATGGAGGTGCCAGGCTCAGAATTAGGGAATGCAATAGGAGGGATAAGTTTGTAGGGGAAGATGATCACTTCGGTTTGGGACATAACCCAAGTTGTTGTGCCTTTGGGAAATCAAGGTGAAAATGTCCAGAAATGCTATGAACCTGGAGCTCAGGAGAAAAACAGAGGTGGGGGTTGGGGTGGGCATCTAGCATAATTCTAGACTTGGAAATAAATGGCATCACCCAAGACCTGAGACAGAATGCAAATGTATAAGGGCTGAGCAGAAAGAAAATGAAGAAATAGAGGCAGAGAATGAGGAGTGGAAGCCAGAAAGAATTGGTGTCCGATAAATCAAAGAAGAGAGTTTCAAGGAAGTGTGAACCAAAGTGCCAAATGCCACTGAGAGGTCAGTCAAGACAAAGGGCAAAAGGTGTTCTCTGGGTTTGGCAACCAAGAGATCACCGGTGGTTTTTGCCAGAGCAGTTTTCAGTGGAAGAAATGGAACAGAAACCAAAGTACAATCAGCTGGATCATGAATGGGAGACGAGGAAGTGGGCAAGGGTAGACAACTCACCCAGGGTGGTGTGGAGCCAGGTCTTGGAGAGAGGGGAGACTTCACTGTCATTGCAAACCCTACTGTGCATTTTTATCTTAAAACACATGCACACCTCTTTTCACAAGCATGTGCATAACAGGGACTAAGGACCCAGAGTTGCACTTTGGTTGTGTAATCACAATGTCTCAGTTATCTCATCTGTGAAATGGGTATGATAATAAAATGTTGGCTAATGAGAATTCAGTGAGTTGATTCATGTGAAGCACTTGGAACAGTGCTTCAGGTGTAGTAAGTGTTCCCAAAATATTGGCTGTTACTATACTTTTTATTTTTAAGAGGAGAGATGTGAAGGAAAGGAAAAATAAGTTTGAAGCTAAAAGAGAGGTTAGGAAAGTTCTTCTTATCCTTGGTGACACTTTGCTCCTTTATGAGACGTTGATCTCTTCCATATATATAGAAAAAGTACTAGTTATTTGCCATTTGTGTTGTAAATATCTTTCCCAGTTTGTGCATTCCTTTCAGTTTCCTTTATGCTACTGTTTCACATGCAAACTTTTCAAATGTTCACATAGTCAAAATCTTTGTTTTCTTCTTTAGTCATTATGCTTATTGAGGATTTTCCTTCCTTGAGATCAGATACTGAGCTGAGCTACCTTCCAGTTATTTTATTATTTCACTTAATACTTTAACTCACTAGAATGTTTTTTCTGCAGGATGTGAAGTAGACATAGAATTCACTGCTTCCTCCAAAGAATCAACAGTAGTCCTAACTTCATATATTGTGTAATTATTTTTCTTTCCTCCATTGATTAAAAGTATAAACTTTGCCATACACAAATAAATTTTATAATTTATTACAATATAAAAACAGAAGAAAAGCAAAAAGAGAGTTAAACCACCCGTAATTCCATCTAGGGCATCATGCTGCTGCCTGGGCTTTTCCCTGGCATAGTTCATACCTTTAAAGAGGTGAGTTGGAGGGGCGCCTGGATGGCTCAGTCAGTTAAGCTCAGTTAAGCTCAGGTCATGGTCTCAGGGTCCTGGGACTGATCCTGCATCAGGCTCCCTGCTGAGCGGGGCCTCTGCTTGGCCCTCTGCCACTCCCCCCCCCTCATTCTCTCTTTCTCTCTCTCAAATAAATAAATGACATCTAAGAAGCTGAGGATTCCTGTGCAAATGCTGGCCTCCCTCAGGATTCTAAGAAGGAAGCAGATAAGATCTGGTGTGATAAAAATGGGCCTTGTTGCCCACACATATACTCACATAGACTTAATCCCACCTACATATACCCATGCATGCACACACATACACACATCTCACACACACGTATGCACCAACACGAATGAGTGCTCACACATATATACAAAACTTGCATCCATTCACATACACATGTACCCATTCTCACTTTTGTGTCCCTAGGGGTCAGGGACAGATCAGCAGTTCTGAAAAACTGATGGTGGAGGGGAGAGAGAAAGGGAGGGAGGGAGAGAGGGAGGGAGAGGAAAAGAGAGCAAGCCGGAGAGGGAGCACTAGAGTGCCCACCCCATCTGCCCTACCTCCCCACCTTCCAATCCCGCCCTATCCAAATTGCTTTAGGAAGCAACCTGAATAACCCAGGGGCTCTGAGTTCAATAAGCATTGTTACAGAGGACTGGGCCAATGAGGACTCAAAAGCATAAAAGTCAAAAGATGATTTCTGGAAGTGGCCCGTGGGCTGGTCCTCCAAGTAGAAGGAGCTCCAGCCACCTTTGCCGGCAGCACACGGCTTCTCCAAGTAGACAAACCCTGTCACCTAGATGCCAGGGTCTTATACTCCCTGCCCCCCACCCCCACCCCAGGCAGGTAAAGTCTGTAGCTGCCACACGCTGGGACCACTCAGCAGGACTCAGGAGCTTGAAGGAACATCTGCCCAGGAAGCCTGCAGCTTGGGGGAAGCTTAGAGGGTGGCAGTGAGTTGAAGTGCCCTCCAGGGAAGCCACGCTCAGCATCTTTGTACCCCAGTGCCCAGCCAGCCCTGGCATGTTCTAGAGACTCTAAATCTGTTAGCCACCCAGCTATTGGAGGAATGAAGTCAGTCTGTTTATTTTGTACTGACACAGAAAGATGCTCACTCTTCATTGTTAGTGACAAGGAGATTTCAGGGCAAAGGGAATGTGTGAGTACATATTTGCCTGTCCACTTGTCTGTCTGTCTGTCTGTCTGTATATCTGAGATCAGATCTGCTCCTCTCCTAGGAAAGAGAGGAGACCACATTGAGGAAAGACCACTTTCCCCTTTGCTTCTGTTGTTTAAATGTTTTAAAACGGGCACTGGCAATTGCCCTTGAGGTCCCTGCAGTTAATTGAGGGCCACTAATGGACAGCAGATGGATTACAATATAAACAGAAGGAGATTACAACGACTTGAGATTTCTACATTTTCCACCTAGGTCAAACTCCTTGATTCCTCCCTCTGTTATCTTTCTATCTGGCCACTCTTCAGTGGAAAAAAAAGATTTTCTTTCCTCCCACAAATCTGCCATTGATTTCCCCTTTTCTCCCACTCTCAGAAAACAAAAAAAAAGACAAAAACCAAAACAAAAAAACAAGGAACCTGGCTATAAGCTGGTCACAATTTATATTCAATTATCATTGCCTCCTGGGAGACATTATTCTTTTTTTTTTTAATTGGCTTGTCTGGATTTTTTATTTGCAGTGACAAATATTAAGCTAGAGCCAAACTTAGTAAACCACGATAAAACATTATTTCATGTGGTTTTTGAACTGTGAGTTACGATCTTCTCACCTCCTCTGATCAGGGTATCATTCTACTCTATGGAGCATTCCTTGGCCCTCTCTAAGAAAGTCAATTTTTCCAAGTCAACTTCTGGGACCGGAAGACAAGAGGATAGGAAATGGGTCCTTCCCTGGGAGGAGAATCCCACGAAGCACACCGTCACTGCTTGTCTTTTTTCCCCCTCCTGTGCCCTCCCAGTGGATTGTCCAATGGCTTACTACCATTTTGAAATCCAAATCCAGATTTCTCAGCATGCCAAAGGAGGCTGCCATGATTTGGCCTTGACCTCCCTCTCTGGCTTCATCTTTCTCATGCTGCCTTCCAGCCACCCTGGTCCTACCCGACATCAGCCTTTGCTGCGGCTTCTGCCCTCTCCCCTTCCTCCACTTCTTAGCAAATCCACCTCTTTCTTGCCATTCTTTGTGGAGCCAACGTGTCCCTTTCTCAAAGGCATCCTCCTCAATCATTCTTGGAAAGACTGCACCCATCCCCACAAGCCCTCCAGTCCCTCTTCCCAGTTTCACTGATCACTAGCCATAATTATCCAAAATTATCTCATGCATCTATTTGCCTTTTGGCTGTCTGTCTACCCCACTGGAAAGTAATGTCCACAAGAGCAGGGAGCTTGTCTCTATTGATCATTGTTGAGTCCACAGTGCCTAGAATAGCACCACGCACCTAGTAGGTGCTTGAGAAATATTTGTTAAATGAAGGACTAAATGCTCAGTTCCCAGGGGTGCCCCCATCTGGGTCCTGGGGCCGGGTAGGGCTGAATGCATGCTGCTGTGATTACAGACGGAGTCCTTCAAGCTCAGTGAACCCTACAGCCAGTGCACGGAGGACGGGAGCGACGTGCCGATCAGTAATATCTACAACGCGGCATATTCCCTCCAGGTATGGGCGGGAGGGGGCACTCAGCCCTGGGTTGTGGTCTGGACACAGGAGACAGTTATCTATAGGGTGGGGTGTGTCTGGGACCAGGAACTCTGCTGATAATTCCTGGGGTTCATCCAAAGACCTCAAGAACAAACAACGCCAGTTGGTTCCAGTCCTCTTCAATCCGTCTGTAACCAGAGCTGAATTGATTGATTGAGGTTTGCATGGAACACAATGTACAGCTGAGACAGGCCTGCTTCCTAAATAGGTCTTGGCAAGTGAGGGACAGGAGAGAAGCAGTCTGGGGGAGGCCTTGGCCAAGGGGTTGGGAGCCTGGCTTCTGGGCCCCTCATGGCCCACACTCGATGATGTCCTCGGGCAAGTGATGACATCCCCAGCAGTCACAGGGGGAGGTGGGATTGGATCAGGGCCTGCTAACTGGCAGCCCCCAGGCCCCTTCCAGGCTGCACACCTAGTTTTTTTTCTGGCCTGGATGGTGTTTAAAAGTCAGGGAATTTCATAAGAAAACCCAGATTTCCAGCTTCTCTTGAAAAACAAGATCTGGCAACATCAGGTCCACAGCCCTGCGGTGTAAACAGTGGGTGGAGTTGCCCCGTTCAAGGAGACACATGTTCTCCTTTCCCATAGTCCCCACCGGCCCCTAGTGTATCACCTCTATCACTGGCCCCTGAAAGGATTTGAATTTGCAACCCTTGAGTGCGATCATCCGTTATGCCTTCTCTTACATTCTGGGAGTCTGCAGTTCCCCTCCTCCTGGGATGCTCAGAGTTAATGAGAATTATTCCAGTAGAATAAAAAAGATCAGGTGTTCCTACGTTCGCACTGAGTCCTCTAGCTTACATTGGAGCTGAGCTGAGAGGTGGTAGGGACGCTAAGTGAAAAGAGACTGTTAGTCAAAGAATGTCTACTTATAATAGAAATACAATCAAACTGACTTCAAGACCAAAAGGAAAGCTCAGCTCATTGGAAAGACACTCCTGGATAAAATTTAGTGAGAGGCTACCATGGACAAACACCTTACATATAGCAATTCATTTCCTGCTCACAACAACCTCGTGAAGTAGGTACTGTTATACTTATTTCAACGGTGAAGAAACCAGAGAAGTTAAGGAACTTGCCTGAGGTCACACAGCTGGGGTGTGGCAAACCTGGGATTTGAACTGGAGTAGCTTGCCTTCAGAGCCCTTGCCATGAGCTTGCATGCTATAAGCTTTGTGGCTATGGTGGTAGCTTATGATCTCCAAGGATCCAGCGTGGAGGGCCTGCACCTGAGAACAGAAAAGCGAGGGCCTCTGTTTCTTGGCATCTGCTCCGATGTCCCCCCACTCCCCTGGGTCAGCACTCAAGTCATTAAGAAAGGACCGCCCCAGGTCCAGCCCCAGCTCAGCCTGTTCTCCTCCTCTCAGTTAATCTGAATTCTCAATCACTTTTCCACCTCGGTCCCTTTGGTGCCAGGGCCACCCCTGGCCCAGTCCACTGGGGCACATTTATGCGGTCCGCCAAGGCTGTGGGAAGCCGGCCCCCTGGATGCGGGTTGTGTAGGGAGGGAGCTCTCTGGAGTCCATGTACAAGGAGGTTAAGGGAACCCCTGGGTTTCGTCTTTCAGATCTGCCTTCATTCGTGCTTCCAGACAAAGATGGTGGAGAAATGTGGGTGTGCCCAGTATAACCAGCCTCTACCTCCAGCAGCCAACTACTGTAACTACCAGCAGCACCCCAACTGGAGTAAGTGAGACCTGCCCCAGAAGTGGGGTCCGCCCAGCCCCAGCACCAGCCTATGCTAGGGCCTTTTGCAGGACGGAGGTATTGATAGAGAGATAAGAGGCAGAGTTTTACTCCTGTCCTGAAGCCTGGCTTGAATTCCACTTTCTGATTAAGGACCAAATGCTGAACCCCAGCGTGTGCTGAGAGGTTGGCCACCTCTGACAGCTCCAGGAGGCAGGAACCACAGATGGTACCCTTTCACGGAACAGACAACTGAGGCTCAGGATGGTTGAGCAACTTGTCCAAGGTCACCCAGCCAGGGAGTAACAGAGCTAGACTCAAAGCCAGGGCTGCTGACCCCCCAGCGTATGTCCTTAACCTCCACAGTATTCTGTCTCTCAACATGACAGAGCAGCATTTGTTTCCAGAGAACAGGAAAGGGGAGGAGAAATCATTACAAGGAGACTCTGGGGGCTCCATGGCTGACCCCTCCCCGAAGGGCACTGTGGCCCCGAAGCTCACACTGCCCTCTGCCTTGTCCCCCAGTGTACTGCTATTATGAGCTGCACCAGGCCTTTGTCCGGGAGGAGCTGGGCTGCCAGGCGGTGTGCCGGGAAGCCTGCAGGTGAGTGGGCCTGGGAGGACGGAACACACAGGGCTGGGCCGGGCCGGGCCTCCCGCACTCACTCTGTGCCCTACCCCCTTAGCTTTAAGGAGTGGACACTGACCACCAGTCTGGCACAGTGGCCATCCATGGTTTCCGAGGTAAGTTACCTTGCCCCCTCTTTCGGCTCATATCCTCAGCCCGGAGCCTGATGTTCCACCTGGGTCCTCTGGCTTCGGGGAGAGATGCACAGGGGAGGTCAGATGGGGTGCGGAGGCTAGGAGGGGAGGTGCATGGGCTGGCCCTGGGCTCTCGAGACATCCCCAGGTCATTCCTTATTTCTCTGTCACAGAAATGGTTGCTGCCCGTTCTCACTTGGGACCAAGGCCAGCAAATAAAGAAAAAACTCAACAAGTAAGCAGACCCCCGCCCTGTTTCCTCTTTCTCCACTGGCCCTGCCAAACCCTCTCTTGTTCGTTCACTCGTTCCTTTATTCAACAAATATTGATCAAGCTTGTGTCCGGAGCCAGGCCCTGCGCTAGGCCTGGGGCTCTCAAATGTTTTGACCGTAACCCATGGTATGAAAATGGTTTTCCATTGAATATATAAATGAGGTAAAAGTCTCATGGAATAGCACTTCCTTATGATGTACAAAGCACTCAGGCTGATCTTCAGACACTGCAAGCCGGTATAGCCAAACCAACTGTTTATATCCATTCCGGTGATCCTGGCACCGTTCGGAATGATCAGTGCCCATATCAGCTGACAAAGAGTTTGAACATCTCTGTGGCTGCGATGTGATATTTCCTATCCTGGTTTGCTTTGTCAAAGGTAGTGGTCATGGCCTAGGAAACTGATGTCATGGTTTCCTGATGTATCTTGACCTAGTTGGAAAAATATTCCTCTGAGCCATGCAGCTTCTGATCCCATTTAAATTTTCCGCATCGAAATTCACTTCCAAGGGAGCTTTAGCAAAAATCAGGCAGGCCAGAGTTCAGGGAGCCCAGGGGATGGAGACGAAGGTGTGAGAGAGGGTGGGGGAATTGCCATGTGACCTCACATCTCTCTGGGCCCTCCCCATCTCCACAGGGCCCAGCACCCAGGCCAGGCTAGCCTCCCACAATTATTGAATATCCACTAGGTGCCAGGTGCTGTGTGTGGTGTTGGGGGTACTATGATGACCGAGCAGACATGATCCCTGCCCAAAAGGGCCTTATGGTCTAGTCATAAAGATAGACTTTGACCAAGCCGTTGCAAACTATTAAACCAAGCATTGAGAGCCGGTGACCCCTAGACCAAATCCAGCTCCACAAAAGTAACCCGTTACGTCTGGCTTTCCTTGAAAGATCAGAAGTTCTGGAAACAGCAAACCTCCGTTCTTCATAGCACTAAAGAGCTGAGTAGCAGTTGTCCCTTTGGAATAAGCATGGGCTTTCCAGTTTGCCACAGTCCTATCAGGAGGCCATTTAGTACAGCGGCTAAGAGCATGGATTGTGAAGCCAGATTCATCCAGGTCTGAATACTGGATCTGCCAATTACGAGCAGTGCATTCTTGGGCAAGTGACTTAACCAACCCGGGTCTTGGTTTCCTCATCTGTAAAATGGGGACGATGAAAACATAGCTAGCTAGGGTTGTTGTGAGCATCAAACAAGTGAATTTACATAAGCACTTAACGGTGGGTGGCAACACAGGAAGTGTCTGATAAATGCTGGCTGCTATTATGGTCATTGTCATTTCCCTACACTCAGCCTACCTCGCTTGTGTACATTACCTGCATGTCTCCTGTACATATTTGAGATTGCAATCAAACCATCGCAATGTCAAGGTTTAATGAAGAACAGGGTGCTAGGGGAGTATAGCTGGGTGGACTGACTTAGTCTGGAGGGTAGGAAATGGTTGTGGAGGGAATAATTGGCCTGAACAACCAGGCCCAGGTTGGGGATGTGCTCTAGGGTACAGAAGGAGTCTCAGGGACCAGGTTCTAGGACCCCCGGGGAGCTCAGGGCCTGGGCCATGCTGGGGGCTGGGCAGGAGGGAGACAGTCACGCTAAAGGGTTGGTCGTCTGGTAGAATGCACAGGCGCCCGACTCACCTTGGCCCTGACTGTTGGAATTTCTGCAGGACAGACTTGGCCAAACTCTTGATATTCTACAAAGACCTGAACCAGAGATCCATCATGGAGAGCCCTGCCAACAGCGTGAGTAGCTTCCTTCTGGGACCTGTCTGGGGTCTGCAAATGTGCCCATCTGCCCAGCCTCAGAGAGCAGAGTCAGATGCCAGCGATTCAGTCTGAGCTGGCAGGGCTGCCATGGGCCATCCAGGCCTGGGATCAGCATAGGCAGAGGAAGAGGGGACTGGAAGCCCTCCAAACCCATTCAGGGCCAGCATTTGCCAGGGGCTCCCTTGGGAATCGGGGGTCCTTGCATGAGACCAACTTGGGAGGAGGGGCCCTCTTCACGGTGTGGCTTGACCTCCCTTGCAGATCGAGATGCTTCTGTCCAACTTCGGTGGCCAGCTGGGCCTGTGGATGAGCTGCTCTGTCGTCTGTGTCATTGAGATCATTGAGGTGTTCTTCATCGACTCCTTCTCTATCATTGCCCGCCACCAGTGGCAGAAGGCCAAGGAGTGGTGGGCCCGGAGGCACGCTCCCCCTGGCCCTCAGGGCCAGGACAACCCAGGCCTTGATGTAGACAATGACCTGCCCACTTTCACCTCCGCGTTGCGCCTGCCTCCAGCCCCAGGGACCCAGGTGCCTGGCACACCGCCTCCCAGATATAATACCTTGCGTTTGGAGAGGGCCTTTTCCGACCAGCTCACAGACACCCAGGTACCAGCTGAGTCCTGAGGCAGGGAGGTGAAGGGAAATATAGCTGGGACCCCCAGCCCCGGTCTGAGAACTTAGACCATGTCACCCTGTCTCCTGCATGTGGAAGGGACTCTTGGCACCCCTCTCTGGGCTTTTCAGAGACATTGAGGACAAGTCTGCTTTGACCAACAACATGGGGCCTGGGTGTGTGCAGGGGACCCATTGGCCCCTGCCCAGCCACCTTCACAGCCGTCCAGGGTGAGAAAGAGCCGGCCGCCCAAACCCCTGGCACATCTGCTCCAGAGAGAGATAGGGGTCGAGGAAATGGTGCCCAGCCAGCCGAAGGCCAGAAGGGAAGCCTGACAGAGCTTTCACCAGATCTTGAGAGAGAAAGACTCCTCCAAAGCCCCAAGCTGGGAGTTTCACCCACTCCTCCGGCCTGGGCTGGGGCCCAAGGATATGACCTGAAGTATCAAGGGCAGATAACCACTGCCTAGTGCCAACGCCAAGAAGAAGCACCAGCCTGGGAGCTGAGGCTGTGAAGAAACTGTTTTTAGGTTTTGACATTGGGGAGAGGTCTCTCCTCTGTGCCCTCAGGCAGGGAGCTGGCCCGAGGTCCTTGGAGTGTGTGGGGGTAGAGTGCAATGGGGGGAGGTCTGGGGATGGGACAGGAGGTCCTCACTCTGGGAGCATGGGTGGGGCCATGTTCTGGGCAGCTAAGCCAGTGCCCTGGGCCCCTTACTCAAGCAAAGAAAGGTCTGCAAAAGGGCCTTGCCGGACACCCCAGCAAGTGGTGGCCCAAGGCACAAAGGATCATCTGATAACTCACTTCAGCCTCTCCTCCTCCCAGGCAGCCACTGCCCCCCCCAAGGCCTGCCCCTCCGCAGCAAGCCAAACACCGCAGACAACCGTTTCTCTACTCACACTTTCCAACATGACAATACCTAACATGTATTAAGCACACAGTAGGAGTTCAATGTGAGCTCAGCAACAGTGTGCTGGGTGCTGTTCTAAGCACTTACGGAGACGAGTGTTGGGGACAGCAAACTGCAACCCATGGGCCAGATCCTGTTTTTGCTCATGACCTAGGAATATTTTGTATTTCACTTTTCTCAATGGTTAAAAAGATCAGAAGAAGAGTCTTTTGTGACTCATGGAAATTATACAAGATTCCATTTTCAGTGTCCATAAATAAAGTTTTATTGGCACACAGCCATGCCCATTCATTTACGTATTATCTGCACCTGCGTTTGCGCTACAATGGCCGCCATCCCTGTAGTTGCAACAGAGACCCTAGGTTTGCAAAGCCTAACGTATGTATTCTCTGGCCCTTTATGGAGAAAAATCTTCCAATCTCTGGATTAAGCAGGTTTGATTATCTCATCGTATAGATGAAGAAACTGAGGCACAGACAGGTTAAGTTACTCACCCCAGCTGCCACGGCTAGGAAGTTGCAGAGCTGGGATGTGAACCCAGGCGGTCTGACCCCAGAGCCTGTGCACTCTATCATTCCATCACTTGGCATCCAAGCAGTGTCTGTGCCTTTTGAAGGTGAGGCTCAGGTCAGTCCAGGGGGGAGGAGGGAAGGCTCGGCCTCTGGCGATAGGGCAAGAGGGATGCCCTTCATCCTTGGGTGCAGAGAGGCCTGCATTTCAGGCCTGCTTCCAGCACAGGGATGCTTGCTAGTGGAGGCAGGAGTCTGGGCCCATCCCTGGGCCCCTCCCAGGGACACCTGGTCTAACCTGACTCCAGGCCAGTGGCTGCAACAGCTGTCTCTGCCCCCTGCAGTGGCTCCACTGGACCTCACTGAGTGGAGCTCTGTGAGCAGGCCCGGCAGCCAGCAGGGAGGAGGTCACCGTGACCGTGACCATGACCGCGGGCTGGCTGTGGCACCCCTGGAGGAGTGGACTCAGAAGCCAGGGCCGATGCAGGCGAGCATCAGGTTACAGAGGGTGCGAGCCTGGCTCCTGTCCTTACTGGGCTGGGGTGGTGGCAGCCAGCACGGACAGGAACTTGTGTCGCCTGACTGGGCATGGCCGAGAGGAGCTTCCTCCCCCTCCTTGGCACCCCTTGGCAGGAGGGGTGGGGGCTGTGTCCGATTCATGGAATTGACTGGCCTCAGCATGATGTCATGGGCAGGAACACTTCTGGCGAGGCTGTCATTGCTGCTGGCTTTGTCAAAGGTGAGGCCAGGGGCGCCTGGGTGGCTCAGTTGATAAGCGTCTGCCTTTGGCTCATGGTCCCAGGGTCCTGGGATCAAGCCCCTCATCGGGCTCCCTGCTCGGCAGGAAGCCTGCTTCTCCCTCTCCCACTCCCCCTGCTTGTGTTCCTTCTCTCGCTTTGTCTCTCTGTCAAATAAATAAATAAAATCTTAAAAAAAAAAAAAAAAGTGAGGTCAGGGGCATTTGGAGTCAACAGCCACCCGCCCCGGGGAGCACATGCTCACAGCCTAGGGCTCCAGCCAGCTCCCTCCTGCCTGGCTCCCAACCCCAGCGCTTGTGTGCCTGCAATGCCAAGTGCTGCCCTCTCTCTTCTTCCACGTGTCATCCCGGGCCGGGCACCAATGTCACCATCTCCATCAAGTGTTCCTATACCCTCCTTTGCCCCAGGAAGTTGGAGCTCCCTCTATTCTAGAATTTTCATCCCCTGATAGAATTTTTATCCATTTGTCTGTCTCTCTCACTAAACAGTGAACACCCTGAGGGCAGGATGTCTTATCTCTTTGTCCTTAGACAGGGGCAGGACTGAGTACAGGGATGGCATTTAGGAAAAGTTTACAGAGCTAATTAAAACAATAACAATCATAATAATGGCTAATATTTGTCAAGCACTTATTGTTTGCCAGGGATTCTGTGAAGCCCTTCACACACAGCAAATAGGGAAACTGAGGCACAGAGTTCTCCTCTTGGCCCCGTCGCTAGTAACTGATAGGCCCAGGGCTGCCCCCAGAACTTGTGTGCGTACCCTCCAGGCACACTATCTTTCAGAGGGAATCTTCCTCAGGGGGCAAGTCCACTTGCCCCAGAGGAAGCCCCCGCCAGTCCTCTCTGGCTTCCATCCTGTCCAGCCTGCTCAGTCGAAGGGCCCTCTCATGCCAGGATGGAGGTGAGGGTGGGGGAGAACCACCTCATTCCCAGGTCCTTGCCAAGCAGCCACCGTGGCCACAAGTTCCTGACTCCAAGGGACAATGACTCCGTTTGCCAATCACAGGAATATTTGTTCTCGATGGGCCACTGTTCTCAAACTGTCACCTCACTGCTCTTCTGACCTCCCTTCCCGGCCCCTGAGTTCCAGACCCAAGTATGCCACAGCCCACAGGACATCTCCGTAAGGACAGAGACACCTCACACTCAATGACCTGCACCCCAAGGGGAGAGCGGAATGAGACCCCGGCCTCTGCTGGGGTTGCAAACTCAGGAGAGAGACCCACGCTGGACAGAGGCATGTTGTCCTCGTCAAGGGTCTGGACTAGGTCACCGTAGGGGAGAAACAGGTCAAAAATGGAAGCAGCTAGGGCATGAGAAGGAGCCCAGGCAAAAGATGAGGCAGCACGAGGTCCCCTTCCCCAGATCCCCCTGTCTCCCAGCCCTCCTTCCGCTCAGGAGGATGTCTCCAAAGCAGTGGCTGGACCATGGCACTTCCTGCACAGAAGCCTCTGGAGGCTCCCCTTCACCTTGGCTACACTTCTCAAGTCACGGGAGACTTAGCCTGCGGTGGCAACTTTAGGTGGCACACATACTTAATGGCCACGCCATGTGCTGTCCTCTCTCCTCCACTCATCCTCCCAGACCAGGTACAAATATCATCATCTCTATAAAGTCTGCCCTGATCCCCTCCCTCAGGCCTGCAAACTGAAGCATTAAGTATCCTCCACTGACGGAATAGGAAAACCATTCCATTTTCCATTGCACAGACATCAAGTCCCCGTTGGGTGCTCTTGGGTCTCTCACGCTCTCTTGTCTAACGGAGAATTAGAGAAGAGTTAAGGATCCTTAAGTTAAGGATCTGGAGATGGGGAGATTATCCTGGGTTACCTGGGTGCACCCCTGTGGCCCCGACTGTGTTTGCACTGCCTGCCCATGTTTCTGTTCTCTCACCTTCTACTCATTATAAGCAATACTGGTGTCTCCAGTTACTGGTTCAACAAACACTTATTCATTCAACAACTGTTTATGGAGCACAGCCTTAGTTTCCAATGGATACTATAACAAACTGCCACAAAGTCAGTGGCTTAAAACCACAGAATTTTGTGCCCTTGTGGTTCTGGAAGCCAGAACTTTGAAAAGAGTCTTACGGGGCCATAATCAAGGTGTCAGCAGGGTTTGCGCTCCCACCGGATGCTCTAGGGAAGAACCCATTTCCTTGCCTTTTCTGGCTTCCCAAACTGCTTTGCTTAGCTCCTGGCCCTTTCCTCCACCTTCAAAGCTGGAGGACTAGCATCTTGCTTCAGTTGTCACATTGACATCTTTGGATGCACCCAAATCTCCTCTGCTTCCTTTTTATAAGGACACTTGCGATTACATCTGGGGTGCACCCAGGTAACCCAGGATAATCTCCCCATCTCCAGATCCTTAACTTAATCCCATCTGCAAAGCCTCCATTCGTGCCCTAGAAGGGAACTTTCACAGATTCTAGAGATCAGGACGTGGATGTTTTAGGGACAAGCACTGATGGATGTTGGGGCTGGGAGTGCATATCTGAGTTGAGCAGACAAAACTCCCTGAGCTCATGGAACCTACACACTCCTGGGTGGAGTCAGACACAAAAACGATCAATAAAAGATTACATAGCATATCAGAAAGTGAGAAGTGCTATAGAAGAAAGCAATGTTGGGCAGGACAAGGGGGGACTGGGAATTTACAGGGGGCCATTTGCAGTGTTATTAGTCAGGGGACACCTCCTTGCAAATACGTCATTTGAACAGCTTGAGGGAGAACAATGTTGCAGGCAGAGGGAAAAGGGTAATAAAAAAGTTTCCTCTTAATTAATTATTTTATTAATTATTATATTATTTATTGATATGTATGTACTTATAGAATATATATTTATAGAATTTATATATTTTCTACATTCGTTTCTCTATTATTTATATTATAATTATCTTATTTAATATAATTATTAGTCAGTAAAATATCACTCAGCCTTGAAAAGAAACAAAGTACCAATATTTACTGTAATATGGACGAAGCTCAAAACCATGATGCTAAGTGAAAGAAGCCAAAGACAAAAGACCACATACTGTATGCTTCCGTTTCTATGAAATACGCCAAATAAGTGCCTGCACAGAGACAAAGGGGATTCATGGTTGCCAGGGTGAGGGGAAGGGGAGGAAGAGCGTGGCTGTTTCATGGGTATGGGGTCTCCTCTGAGGACGACGAAAATGTTTCAAAACTAGATAGAGGT